ATGATTGGGCTGGTCATATAGCAACCCTGAGGGAAGTTTTTAAAAGACTGTCTGCTGCATCACTAACCCTTAATCTTGCCAAATGTGAATTTGGACAAGGCACTGTACAATATCTTGGTCAGCAGGTTGGCGGTGGAAAAGTGTGCCCAGTGGAAGCTAAAATCGCAGCCATCATTACCTTCCCTACGCCTACAGCAAGAAGGGAGTTGCGCCGCTTCCTAGGCATGGCTGGATACTATCGCCGGTTCTGTAAGAACTTCTCCTCAGTAGCAGCGCCTTTGACTGCTCTCACAAGCCCCGCTAAGCCCTTCATTTGGTCCGATGAGTGTCAAAAATCTTTTGAAAGCTTAAAAGCTATTCTGTGTTGCACCCCTGTTTTGTCTGCTCCAGACTTCCAGCGTCCATTCAAACTGGAGGTGGATGCTAGCATGGTGGAGCTGGAGCTGTCCTTCTCCAAGAAGATGATCAAGGCATCGATCATCCTGTAAGTTATTTCTCCTGCAAATTTGACAAACATCAGTTAAAGTACTCTACTGTTGAGAAGGAAACCCTAGCCTTATTGTTTGCAGTGCAACACTTCGAAGTCTATCTTAATTCTGGTCCCCAGCCCATCACAGTATTCACTGATCATAATCCCCTTACATTTCTTTCAAGAATGTACAACAACAATCAGCGCCCCATGAGATGGTCACTGATCCTGCAAAATTATAATCTAGAAATTAAACATAAAAAAGGATCTGAAAACATAGTTGCCGATGCTTTATCAAGATCCCTAGTAAAAAGCATTCAAACTACGTTTGAATTTATAAGGGTGGGGGTGTTACATGCAGGCATTTGTTTTGTTTGTGTACTGCTCTCTCCTCTGCCCTGTGTGTTCAGGTGCTGTGGGTGTGACCGGAACTGGAGCTGATTGGCCAGCTGGCTGCCAATCAGAGTGGAGAGGGCTGTTTAAAAGGAGTTGTGTGCTGCCTCTTTCTCTCTCTCTCTCCCTCCGTGTATATGGCTGCTAGCCCAGGTTTGTTTGGTTGGGAGGATTCGTTAGGTAAGTTTGGGGATCCCTGTACATTTCACACCACGTAGATTTTTGTTGTTAGACACTAGTTATCAGTTGTTGCCACCTTTGTTGTTTTGAGTTTTCCAAATTCTCTTTTTTAGACCAGGTAGGCTAGGCTTTTGATTTCTTTCCTTTTTGTAGCCTAGTTTTCAGTTAGGGCCTGTTTTGGTATACCTTTTTGTTTGTTGATTTGGCACAACTGGCCCACGCCTCCTCCCACCAACCTTTTGTTCATTTTTTGTGCACTTTAATGAATGTTTGGCTGTCAAATAAAAAGTCTGCCAAACTGACTTTGCCTCAAGGGTTGTTTTGTACACGTTGTGTCCCTTGTTGGACATAGGGGACATAACACACACGTTTAGAGAATAGTCTAGGATAAAAATACTTGGTAATCATGAAAAAAACTATTTAATGAACTAAACATGCTTGTGACATGTGTTCTTTTGTTCTTGACAGAGGTGCCACATTCTAGAGTGTAAATCAGTCTCACCATTCGCTGTATCCTCAACAGTTCTGCACGCTACAGCACTGTTATCTCGTCTCCATCCCCTCTGCCCTCATCTCTTCATGTTTGGTTCTTTCTTCTACATTCTGCTCTTGCTGTTTCCATAAAGTGCTCTGTTGTCTCACAGTATTCCTGTAGCCTTCGTACAGTTTTTCCCACACTAACCCTGTTCACCCCGTTTCATTCCTCCTTGGTCCTTGTCTCTATTTCTCAGAGCATTATAATCTGTGCTTTCCAGTATTCGGCTCCATTCAGGAGGGTGAAGGGTAAGTGAAGATCGCAGGGCCCCAGTGGAGAGCCCCAGACGTTGTGCTGTGGATGTGTTGTGTGTGTGTTGTGTGTATGTTTGTGTGTGCACCATCATTGCTCATCTCTGGCAGTCTCTCTGGCTGTTCCCCGAGCTACAAGCTACAGAATAAATACACTTTAAATCAGTGCGTGCACGCGGGCAGACACACACATGCACGGCAGCAGGCTCCCTGGCAGCACTTTGCTGCTGTTAAATGAGGGGTCTGGGGAGTTGTGCCGGCGAAGCCTTTGGCTACCTCACTCTCTTCCTCCTCCTCTCCTCTCAGTGCAATCTGGTCAGACGCATGCCAGAAAATAAGAAAGTCATAATGGGCACCCTCATATACCATTCTAATGTTAAATATATGAGCAAAGGCTTTTTAAGGAAACACAGCTGGAGACGAGTCGGCACTCAACAAAAAACAGCAGTGGACGAGTGGGCAAAATGTCAGAACCATCATCGTCAGACTAGAAGCAACGGGCAAGAAAGAACTGTCAAAAGTCCTCACCTTTTCTATTTTATGGAGTGCTCAATGCATTTTCTAAGAACCTTTGTGATTCAAGTGGGCAAGAGTCTATTCTAACTATTTTATGGATGCAAACTGGAAGCACTGCACTAACTGACAGAGACCCCATTCATACTCCGAGTAAAGCATGAAATCTAAGTAATCACAAGAATAAAGTTACTCAAAATCATGTAGGTAAAGATGCTACAGTGGACACGTGGTCATGCTAAATTACATTAGTCCTTAACACCATGCACAATCCATTTTCCTGTCTTGTAATTTTTCTTAGATTGATCTATGATACATACCACGCAGTCTCCATAGCATCTGACATTTTGGGCCATCATTCGCCTCCTACTCACAGAGCAGTCCTACAGTGAGAGCTGTGTAATGGGTGCAGGTGCCAGTAGCCCCCTCACTGCCTCCCCCTCTCTCCCTCTCCTCTTCTCTACTGCAGCACTTGATGCCCATTTAACCGCACATTTAGAACCAGTGGAGTGTGCTCAAAAGGAATAAAACTCTTGATGACTAAATGGCGGCACACATTTACTGTTCAAATCTCGCAAGCTCTGATTTTAGCCACTGTATCTAATTGAAAAGAGCAGCCTTTGGGAGATTTGTTCTTAGCAGTTTGGCCAGCACATGTCTAATGGTGGTGAAATAATGACAATGTGCTCATTGGGCAAACATGTGTATACTGGAAGCGGGCGTGTACGGGGAAAATGGAACAATGCGAAGTGACACGTGAACTATATATATCCGTGACCCGGGGCTGTCAGCGCATCTTGTCCTCAGCCATGCTCTCTGTCCTTCCCACAATGCAACATCAACTGGGTTAACTGTGGCTAATACGGACAGCCTCCACGCCGCATCCATGTGTCTCTGAAAATATCAATCTATCCATCGGGCTGAACAGTTGAAGACAGGAGAGTTGAAGGTTTTTCCCATCAAATACTCAAGCCAGGATTTCATAGCGTGTAACACGGCTTACTGACGCCATGAAGCTATGAGTCATGGTTGCTAACAAAGCCAATGGTAAACCATGAAGACAATCATTATATCAATATTAGGAAGAGAAACAGATAGGGATCTTTCCTGCATTGATCATATTGTTAGCTGCAATCTGTAAATGAGGAAATGGCTATTATTATATGTATGCTGACAAAAAAGAAAATAAGTCAATATGAGTATTTTCATTCATGTGTAATTGTGTTGTGTATACCTTCATTAAAGTATTGGAAGTTTGTTTTTTTCCTTGCTGTAGTTTCCTGTTTTATACTGTGCATTTGTAAGACTTAATTTCCTTAGAAGTGTCTGCACTAAGATTTTGCAATTACATGGATTTTAATTGACATTTTCCTTCCTTGGCACTCTATTTTGTTTATAATACCCTTATCAAATACTCTTCTCTACTTTTAGTCTACTATAATAATTTTTTTCAAGATGAGACCAAGATGATCATGAAAGTTACTGGCATAGGCTGGAATAGTACTTGTTTAACGCTTGAATCCAAATGAGAGTTCTTCACTATTCAAAGGTGCTGTACCTGATTTTTACGGTCTTAAATTGTGAAAAACAGAACTAGTTTATTTAAAACAGTTTTCTGTAGTTATTTCTCACTTATGCATTTCTGAGCATCTTCTCAACTCTCAGAGACCAGTGCACAGTTTTACTGTGATGGTAAAGCTACCAACTGCTAACATGTTAACACACACCTCCTGATTATCAGACAATAGATGCAGACAGCGGACATATATACTGACCTCAAGTGTTGCTTATACAATCTATTTCTACATGGAGCAAGACAAATTTTGCTAATGGAAAAATCTGGTACAGACCATTTAAATTTCAAAGAGTATTTTATGGTTTAAGAAAAACAAATGTGTAAAAACTATTACAAGAAGAATCAATAGTGCTTATTCTAAACTGAAATTAGTTTGAAAGCCTTAGCAAGAAGATGACAACATATTTTAAAGCATAATAACTACATATTTGTTTTACGTTCATCATAAGTTAAAGTGAGTGTATACTGTTAAATTCATTTTTCTAATTTATTTATAGGTATATTTGGTATGCTCTAGGTGAAGTAAATCTAAAAGTGCATTTTAAATTAAAATGTTCTTCAGAAATGATTTAATGCAGAACACATGTAATTTAGCTCAACAAGGACCTAGAATAATACAACACAGTCCATAAAACAAGAAACAATGCTTTCAATGACACAGGTTGGGCATTAGCCTCTAATCAAACTGATTTATCTTTTCTTCACCTCGGGCGCTCTCTGGAAGGACTTTTCCTCAGTCGCCCTTTCTCCTGCTACACTGTGTCTTTCAGGCCATTTTCTTGTACTAAAAATAAATAAACTAAAATCAATATTTCGCTTCTCAGACTTTTTTTCCGCCCTATGATCTCCCCAAACAAAGCTGGAGTTGTCAGCTAGACAGAGGACAGCTGTCAGTGTTCTGAAGGTAAGTTATTAATAAATTTGACATGGATATATGAACGAAAAACTGTACTTGGTTTAAAATGTTCACTCCAAGAGAAATGACAGAAGGCAAGTGTTTAGACTGATGTAAAATGGTGGCCTGAAAATGAAGATGCTAAAATGACAGGTAAAAGTGTTGGTGTGCACTTAGGAGAGACTTACCTGAGGCATTTTTCTGGTTGCCGTTTGAGTCCACTGTAGTGTACATGACATACGGGCCAGGCTGGTTAACACCGAATGGCTGTGAAATGCAAGCGACAAAGCAAAACAAAGTGAGCTCTTTGACATTTTAAAAATCACTTGTCCATCAGCAACAGAGAGCGGGAAGACAGGGACACACTGGTGGGCACGGTTGAAAAGGAAAACACATAAAACAGTGACAAGCACGTCACCACCACGACCTTGAGTTCTGTTTTTTTGGGTTATATTTTTTAGAATGTGACGGGAAAATGTCTGACCTAGCTAGATTTAATGTGACTGGGTTGCGTGGTGAGGATGGGACGTGGGTGGTCACACAAGAGTCTTATGTCATCATTATGAATAAGGAAATCTGTACATGTTTGGCTTAGCACTTCCTTCTAGTCAATTTTAATATTCTCAAAGTGAGGGGAAAATCTTGAAATTAAAACAGTGAAATTAAATTTAAAGCTTAGCTGCTATTGTTGTTTCTTTTCCTAGAATATTCCACAGTATGAAGCCACCAGACCAAATTACAGGTTAGATCTGTGGAGAGGCGATCTCACTCAAAGTAACTACATTTTGTTTTGTTTTTTTGAGATGAAATAGATGATAGCAATGAAAAATAAGTATAAGATAGATTTGTTTAATGCCATACCGTAGAACACTTCAAGTTAAGCAATGTGATCTCCATGGAGACAAGTTGGTGGCAAAAATTCCACCAGAACAGTTAATGGCACAGGGCAGGTGGCACAAGTATTACAATGACATAATGTATTATGACTTAATACATTAACTTGAGTCACTATTTACAGGTATTGTACTTTCTTCTCACTGTGAAAATACCACACATGAGTACTATTTCATGTTTCATCCTCGCAATTGCATTAACTTTAAATGACAAATCAGATGTTTCTTCCAGTTACTTTTAACTTAAGTTACTTGAAGAGTAGTTTCCCCAAATACTTTTACTTAGACTTGAGAATTATTATTATTATTTTTTTTTTAAGAAAAATCTCTTATTTTAGTACAATTTGTGGCTATTTTACCCAATTTTCATGGACATCAGTGACAACATTGACTGTCACAGCTAAGTTAGTTAGCTTACTACTACTAGCATTAGACCAAAAATATTTAGTATTTTTATGAAATAAATTAACTGCAGAGTGTCCTAAAAAGGTAAAGTAATCTGACCCGGGGCATGTGAGAGCTCAGGTGGTTGGATGATCAGTTCAGGTTCTACTGAAAAGTAAATGCTATTAGCTGTTAGCTTAGCTTAGCTTCAGACGGTGAAATGTTTTTTTTTTCGGACGGTGAAATGTGACTTCCGTTTCAGAGCGCAGAGGCAGAATGGCAGAAAATTCTAATTTTGGGGTTTATATATGCAACTACTGGCAACCGTGGAATGCCTGTGTGTTGCCATAACAGATATAAACTTGTTTTGATTTAACTTTACGTTTCATTTGAGGAGAGAGACGCTGTGAACCATGGAAAACCATGTAAAACCATGTAAAAAAAAACAAAAAAACATGCAAAACCCTGACAACAGGGGACAACAATGAAATAAACGTAGGACATAGGAGACATTATTTTACCATCAAAATTTTTGTTTTTATCACTTGAAATAATTCATAAATAGGTTATAACTGTCCTAAATCATCGCCTTACATACACTGATAGTGCACTTTTAAAAGTGAATTAAATGTGAACTGATATATTACACTATTTTCTGATCTGTGTTATGTTGTTTCCATATCACAAACAAAGCTGGAGTTGTGTTAAGCTTCATTCACACATGTTTAACACACAAATCCTGCATAATTGGGCTGAGTACTCCTTTCAGAAACAGAAACAGAAAACTCTGGTCCACTTTGTAATGTCAGGAAGTAATACAGGGCGTGCTCCACTGTGTTTGTAAAGTCTGTATAGACAGACCTTGGCTAGAATCATTTGGAAAATGTCAGTCCTCAAATTGACTGGCACTACTGAAAAAAAAAGGTAAAGGTAGCTCTTCACTTCAAAAAACACCACTCCAAGTATATTTTTGATGAGATAACAACATTATAACATGGCTTAAAGCTCATAAGAGTCAATGTTGCATAATATAGTATCTTTAATCAGTTATAGTTGACCATTCAAAATATACAATATTTAGTTTTGAATTGTTGATTATTGCAAAAGTACATTTAAAATACACAATCTGACCAGTTGTCCCCTGTCCTGGATGTCCCAGTTCTTTTGGTTTGTTGATATGGCCCTTTGCTGCTGGTAGGACGGTTACTGTTTATCATATTTTGTGCCTGTGCTGATATTACTATTGCTGTGTGCTAATGTTTACATAATGGGTGTTATATGGTGAGGGTTTTGCACTAGTATGCACTTCCTTTCAACATACTATGCGGTTTGTTTGTGATGCTCTAACGAAATTTCATTGTGATTTTATATAACAATGGAAATAAAGCAATTGAATTGAATTGGATTAGTATGGTAACGGTCATAACTTTTCATCATTCTGAAAACCAAGGCTAATTGTGAGGAAGATTTCCTTTCCTTTTGTATTATGAGCAACATTTTACAGTCCAAGCAAAAGCTGAATCTATAAATTCATTCTAGGCAATGTGCAAATATAGTTACAGTTTATTAATTGCACACCAACATTTCTTAAAGATATATTTTGCTAGTTTTTCAAGTAGAAAAAAAATAGGTTTTCATTTTTTTATCAACAGCTAGTGCCTTTCCAACTCAGACTGCGTGAACCATTTTCTTCTGAACTGGAGTGTGCTGCTGAGTGGAAGGCACAGTAAGAGTGGTACAGGGAGGGATTTAAAGATGGAGGGCTTGATGGATGGAAGAGGAGAGCAGCAGAAACAGCCCGAAGCTCCACTCGTCTGGCACGTTCATCATACCTTTCAGTTACAACAACAAGGGGCTGGAGGAGGAGGAGAGAAAACACCACCAAAACCAGCAGCGTGTCAGTGTGATGTGGGGTGCTACTAGTCAGTTAGTGAATTGGGACTTGCCTTCTGTTCACTCAAATCACATTGCATATACAAAATTTTAGAGAAGAGTCTTAATAAATAAAGGAACATTATGCAAAATTGACTCTTGAGCTTTAAGCTACATTAGAATGCAAAAACATACCTGGAATGGGGATGAAATTATCCAAATTATTCCAGTAAAGGTGTATGAAGTATAAAAACACAGTGGAGCACTTCCTGTATTACTATATGACATCCCAAGATGGAGAAGAACTCAGGCTAAATCTGCAGGATGTGTGTGTTAAAAATGTATAAGTCGAACAAAACACAACAATGGGATGTTTTGATGAGGAAACAACACTGTAATATATTAGAAAAATGCATAATATAGGTCCTTTAAGGTAGCACTTTTCTAAAAAGAAATACAATTGTAAATTGTGCTTTAGCCTTCAAAACATCATCAACCACTTGAAGACCAACTCAAGGTAGTGAATAGAGTGAATAGCTGAGGGTGTTATGTAAGTGTAAGCCACAGTCTGTCAAATGTCCCTGAATAATTATAAGTCACCAAGGGCCAGCGCTGAAGGACCCAGGCTCCAGTAGTTTATGCATCCTTGTATGAAAACAGTAGCCTCACTGATTTTGTTATTATTAGAATTGCTACCCATAAGCGAGAATGTGGAAGTCAAAGTGACAGCACAGGCCAGGGCCTAAACAAAGCAATGATACGAAGGTGTGGACGCTATTTGAGGACCCAAATAACTGTTCTTAAAAACTGCTTTTATGACGATCGTATTGGGAGTTCCACTGTTTTAGTTTATAGATATATTAGGTCTACTGTGTGGCAAGTTAGGTAGGTACCTCTTGCACAAAGGATGTTATCAATTTAAAAAAAAAAACTTTCAGTTACAACAACAAGGGGCTGGAGGAGGAGGAGAGAAAACACCAGCAAACCCAGCAGCATGTCAGTGTGATATGGGGTGCTACTAGTTGGTTAGTGAATTGGAACTTGCCTTCTGTTCACTCAAATCACATTGCATACATGAAATTTTAGAAATGAGTCTTAAAAAATAAAGGAACATAATGCAAACTTGACTTTTCTGAGCTTTTTTAACAGATTGTAATCTTGTTTTGCTTGTGGTGTGAGCAAGAATAACATTTACAGTGTTAATATAATTATTACTGCATAATTATGACAGCACCTGCCAGGGCCTAAACAAAGCAATGATACGGAGGTGTGGATGCTATTTGAGGACCCAAATAACTCTTCTTAAAAACTGCTTTTATGATGATCGTATTGGGAGTTCCGCTGTTTTAGTTTATAGATATATTAGGTCTACTGTGTGGCTGTGTACCTCTTACACAAAGGATGTTATCATTAAAAAAAAAAAATTAATTAAAATTTGCCACATTATAATGATGTTACCTAATCACCTGAATGAATGTTTATTCGGACAGTAATACATAAAACATAAATTTAGAAAAAACGTAAATACATAGATATAACACAAAAAGTAACTATTTCTATTCTATAATAAGAGGCAAAATAAATGTTAGTTTGAGAGAAAAACTCATCCTAAATATGCAGGATTTGTGTGTTAAATCTCTGTGACTGGAACAAAACACAACTCCAGGAAACAAAATTATGTAGATGAGGAAATAGTCTAATATGGGCCCTTTAAGGTATGCCATGATCTTAATATTTTCATAATGTTTTCTGTTGCCCTGATGGTGCATTATGTCATTTTATGGTGGAGGGGCCCCCACTTGCTTGAGTCCATGGATATGTTATTGCTTCGCTTGAAATGCTCCACACTCAGGCATTAAACTTACTTATTTGCTTACTAATAGTGAAAAGTGTCCCTGCGTATAAGATAATCAAGTCTATTTGAAAAAAGACAACTTCTTACCTTGATGCCCTCCGGACATTCGTTGGAACATAGGCCACTCAGAACTGTAGAGGCAAGAAAATAAAATCAGTGTATGGCAACTGATATGGGCATTGTATTCTTATTCTTTATGTGTAATGCAAACAAAGACAATCTGTCAACACATGCAATGCAATGGAGAACATTATGATGCTATTACATTGTGTTTACATGTGCAAATGCATCATAGGAGCTCACTTCGTCTATTCATGATTAGTTTGTACAAGCGAAGCAGGGACAGAATCAGCTGAATTGCTAATCAGTCATTAGAAAAGTGACTTTATTAGCATACTAATGGTTCTGAGGCGATGTGATGTTTTGCTTGATGAAGTCACAGAGGAGTCCAATACTTGCTAATAAGGTGTGCACCTAACAACAAGTCACTTTGAATGCACATATTCAAGGGAACATTATTGTTGATTATTTATCTGGACACTGCATGGTGCAATATTATACACGATAAATATTGCTAATTTCTATTCTTGGAAGTTGTGAACTCACGCTTTTAGGTGAGGAGATAAACTTGGAATACGATTGCTCCACTAGAACCTCTGCATAATTCTCCAGGGCCATTATAAATAATGCTAGTTTAACTCGAATTCCCATTGATGGTGAGGGTCTTTTGACCGCACATGTCACTTGTGCATGTTGTAAAAATGCATAAATGCACTGTTTATGGAAATATGTGATCTTCTACTGCTTCATTAGTGCATTTACCATTTGCTCAAAGTGAATTTTCTCTTTAAATTTAACAATTCACAATCACATTGAATGTCTATGCAAATGTCTCCTGAATTTCGAATTGCTATGCTCCTAAAACAAATCCAGTTGATGTGCTCTGATTAATTTGAATTCTGTGATTTTCTGTGAGTGTTTTCAAGTGTCTTAAAAACTTGTATTGAACATTTAGGGTATTCCCAAAAGCACAGACATAATCTGAATAACAATCTCATGTGAGGAGATTTTTTACAACACAAACATATCTACTACATACTCTAAACTTGCCATGTGCTTTGAACTAGGGCCTAGTTGAAATTATTATTATTATTGATAGCATTTGTATAGCGCCTTTCAAGATACCCAAAGCGCTTTACAGTTCATTATTCAGTCACTCCACACTCAGTGGTGGTAAGTTACTACTGTAGCCACAGCTGCCCTGGGGCAAACTGACGGAAGAGAGGCTGTCAATCTGCGCCATCGGCCCATCCGACCACCACCATCACTCACGCTCAAACCACTTTCATACTAGGCAATGTGAGTGAAGTATCTTGCCTAAGGACACAATGACAGTTTTTTTTGCCACTGGCGCCCCACTGTGGCACCTGGAATTCCCAGCGGTCTCCCATCCAAGTACTACCCAGGCCCAGCCTGCTTAGCTTCTGAAATCTGACGGGATCAGGCTTTTACAAGCCGGTATGGCCAAATTGTGTGTTCTTAAACATTTACACTCTCCCATGGCAGTAAAGATTAAAACAGACTTTTCTTTATGCAGTTGAACTACACCATTTTGCAAACACACCCCATGTGCTGCCACTGCATAAACCACATTTTCTATGTCAAAGAAACAGGAAAATGTGTGCACATGATATTGTACAGATGGGCCTGAAAATAAGTTCAGAACCTGCGGGAACCCCTGCTAGCCAGCATTTAGTTCAAGAAAGTTTCTGTCAGTTATCTGCTGAAGTCCATGCTTCTCATGTAATCCAAGCTAAAACCACTTAATTTCAGTTCATTAAGTGAATAGACTGTTATACTGCTGCACAATAGGACAGATATTGTAAATACTGAATGGCCATGAATTGCATGTAACTCATAGTACATTCAAAATTACATACTGTACAAGTTTTATGGACACAATTTTGTACAATTAGCAACATTACATTATACTGAATACACACGTTGCATTGCCAAATTTGGTACAATGGATTATTCTACTAAATAGCCTTTGCAAGCACAGAGAATAAACTCAATATTTTTCTTCTTTCTGGGCTTTGATTTGAAAAGAAATTGAACACAGCTTTGATGTTCTGAGGCTTATTAAGTATACGCCCGAAGGTGAATTCAGATGCGCTTCCAATCAAACACTTAACGTGTGTTCTTTAACCTCAACTGACCACATTAAACATAAGGTGCTACTCACTATTTCACCACCTGAGAACGGAAAACAGCTCAGAATACTAATGTGACTAGCTCTGCAATGACTGGCAAGTCTTTGAAAAGTCCAATTTCATAACAAATGTAACTTTTCATTTTAATCTTTTAGCTTCACAATCACACATATTCATACAGGCAAAGTGTCTGATATTCATCTTCCAAGGAGTGAATACTGCAGAGAAACGATGAACTGCTAAGCTACTGGTAGGAGGGCGAATGTGGACCACCTGAATTAAGCCTTATTATGGGAAGTCAGGCATAATTTCCACTGTCAAAACATGGATAGTTGCGGAAAACATTTTAGTGTCACTTCTTGACTTCTTGCATTGAACTGATGTGATAACAGTTCAATGATTAATTCTTTAACAAAAACTGTGACACTAGAGAAATACAAATCTTTGTCTAGTCAATTACATTTTGTTCTTGTGAAAAAAACATTTTATTCTGAAAGTAATAAAAACTGATCCATGCTAATGTTTAAGCAGGAATCAATTAACTCACTCAACTAATACCTTGTTATGTAGTTTTGACAACACACACCTTGCTTGAGTCAAAATACTTAATTTGATATTGAAAAGACTGTTTGTTATCTAATATTGTATTGACTTCTGTTTAAAACATTTTCATCAAGCACACGTTCAAAGCGTGACGCATCCATCATTTGAAAGCTTTGATTAATCGCTCGCTTCTCTCTACACAGAAAAACCAACATAAACCTCACACTTTGACCCTGAAATGAAGGAATCTAGTGCAGCTAATGCAATACAATATGGAAACCTTGTCACAGGTCTCGTAACAGAGCCCAGGGGTTGAGTGAAGTCATTATTGGCTGCCAACGGAATAATTACACCTCTATCCACTTTGATTATGAGCAGAGCAACACATCAGAGGGTCTGCAGCAAAGTCATCTACGAAGGACAGCGTTGATCAATAAATCATAGAGAAAGGATTATGTTTGAATTTCATGTTGTGTGGGGTCAGGCTCCGGCACTGCTGTGACTGACACTGTAAATCAATAGTGCAGGGGATTAGACAGTCATTTGTTTGAAGGTGGTCTCTTTTGGGAGAGCACGGACTGTGAACATGAGAGGTAAAATGCATACAAAATTTAACATAACACAAGACCCTGGAGAAGAGATCATTGTTCGTAAAATGTCATAGTTTCACAAAATTATTCTTGATTACAGGGATCTACCAATGAGTCTGTCTCAAGATACAATAAGTAACTCAGTTGGTGGAGCGTTCATTCTCTGATCCTGCTCTCCACATAAACATCACTGGTAGGACAGTCAGGTCCACTGAACCACAAGTTGGCGTTACGATTTTAGCTCCCACAAATGAATAGTGTTGTTGTGTCCCTGGGCAAGACATTTAATCTCTCTGCATACACTGGTGTATGAATATATGTTTGAATGGATGAACAGTTCCTTGATGTAAAGCGCTTTGGGAGCCTTGAAGGGTAAAAAAGCACTATATAATAATGTGACCATTTATTTGAAAACTAAATGTTATTAGAATCCAACTACTAAATATTTTTTCAAAAGTCGATGGATTGTAAAATAACTGAATTCTGGCGGTTCTGCCCTTTAAAATGAGGTATGGCATGTCCAAATTGACAGAGCTGAAGTTAGCTGGAGTTTATTTCCTGAATAGTTTTGGGCTAACAAGATCTGATAACTTTTACGTGGTGGCAAAAATAGAAGTGTTGATTGTCCAACAAACTTAGCAACTGGATTCAAAAGGTTCTGGGCTTGAGACATATCCATATTACTTCCAATAATCGGAATATCATAGCCAATCTGAAACATGTCTACAAAACCGATACATCGGTCTGGCCCTAATTGTTATGAAAGTAATGGTTCAGGTAGTGTAGAGGTGAGACATGGACTATGACCAGCAGTTTTCTTCAGAGGTAAATGATGATATAAGTTTGTATTAGAGACTGACTGATATTGGCTCTTCCATTTCCAATGCTGATTGTTTTAAAATCCAGAGAAACCAATGGCCAATAAGCTCTGCCAATAGTTTTGGGGTGATATGTGAGGCCAATTTAGGTAATTTTCTCCAAACTATCTAATTTGAATTTTAGTACAAACTGATTCACAACATTTGCAGTACCCTCTCTGGACTCAAATGTTCAAATATATATTCTTTACACATATTTGGCAGTTGGAGGGACCACATAAAATATTGTACTCTGCTGGAGAATGAAGTCAGATAGCTAATACTCTAAAAAGTGCTAAATATCTCCAGTTTGTATTGTGTATAAAATCCCTCAGTCATCCAGGTTGTATCTCCAGTTTGTATTGTTGAATGGTCACCCTATACTTTAAATGTTGGTAGTTCAATTCCTGTGCAAACCTACTGTGTTCATAGACAAGACACCTCACTTATGTTGAATGTGAAGTGTGTGTAATCAATGAAGCATTCTTGTACAGAAGAAAGAAATCCAATGAAATGAGATACAGTATGTAACCATGTGTGTAGCTATGGAGGTGCCCACAGTGCAATCAATGACTCATAATAAAGAAAGAAACCCTTTAATGTCAGGAGAAACAAATGCTGATTAGAACATCATCAAACACGTCTGGCTGTGAAAGTCCTTCACAACTCACTGCGTCCACCGCAGCTCTAGGAACTGAACGTCAGGCTTGGGCATCCATGTGTGTGTGGCTGTCACTATGTTCCGAGCAGAGGAGAAAGCAGCTTGCGTTGATCGCTTCTTCTGTGCTTTGTTCATAATACTTCAATCTCCCCGACGACAACAACATAACAGCTCCTCCATGGCCAAAAACAGGAATAGCTCTCGCACATAGAGGCGCAAACAGATTCTTTTGCCTCCTGCCAATACCCAGACTCTCTTACCTCCCAC